TCCGCGGAGGAGGAGAAGAGGTGTCAGGTACCAGAGCTGGCACAGGGCCGGGTCCTGCTGCCCGGCCAAGGGAGCGAGGGAAGAGAGCTGTGGAGCCAGGGGCATTGCGGAGGAGGCAGAGAGCATGGCTGCGGGTGCTGGGCAGGGCGCTCCACCATGCCACTTCCCAGCCATCTCCAGCTTCCATCTGCAGAGCACCCGCATCCTTGCGTCAGGAGCCCGACCTCCCCACAGGCACTGCTGGACACAGCCTCCCGCCTGCTCTGTTTGTTTTCTGTCTCACTTCACTAAGTGCCTCCTATTTTTTTCCACTAAGAGCTGGTGCCTTTGTGCCAAGGGGCACCTGGGTCAGCACTCATTACAGCAGGAAACACGTCCAGCCACCACTCATACAAACAACCCTACAGCAAACACAAACCAACACCAGCAGCAGGTGGCAAACCCTGCTCCCAACCCACAAAGAGCAGCCCTACTGTAAGGGACATGGGGACATAAGGGACCAAGGGATGAAGGCCACCTTCCAGATGCCAGGCTGGCACAGCACAGCTCTAACCGCCTCCTGGAGGAGTCCCCTGATGTTTAACCTAGTCACCAGCTTGGTGGCTGCACAGCCTGGGGACAAGGAAAAGGAGGAATGATGATGGACCTTGTCGTGAGGCCATCCATTTTATTCCTGGGCGTAGAACTGTCTGTCTTATCCCCTCGGAATTGATTTGTAAGCAGAAGGAGCAAGATAGCAAGGAATGGGGCTTAAGAAACCTCAGGCTAGCACCTCTGAGCAGGTACAACAAGAGATGGCACAATTTTAATTGCCTATTCATGCCACACAGAGGCCTTGACAGATGCTAAGTGACACCTGTGTATTGGGCCATACTCAATCCCATTGCCAGCCAAGCCCTGGGAGCCCATGCCAGCTAGTGCCAGCCATCACCAAAACCGCCCAACCTCTGCAGAACTTGCACTGCACGACAGCCACGCCTGCCCACAGCCATTTGTCACGAGGCTTTCAAGATGTCCCTGCCTCCCCCTTCCTACGCGCTGCCTATTCTCCTGGTTCTGCTGCTTTCACCAGCGGTGAGCGCAGCACACGCTTGGCTTTCCGCTCCGGAGCAATCTCATGGTGCTGGGGTAGGCATGATACTCCCAGAACCACCAGCTCTTTGAAGAAAAGGCCTTTACGCCACACCAAGCATAGCACTGTCCTTGCAGTCCCTAGACATGGGGCTGCCAGCTGCTCTGATAGCGAGCACCCCATGTCCTCCTGCCACCACTTGCAGAGGATCACTTTGCAGGGATAAGGTCATTGCTTCCTCTGAGCGCGGCCAAGATGGAGCTGGGCCAGGTGCCTCACCAGGCTTCACCCCATCCCCTACATCCGCTCATCCCTGGGTGACACCAGGATGGGGGCACATCCAGGTTTACTGTGGGCAGGGAACAAGCTGGCATGAAGCGCTGGTGGCCATGACTCAGCTGGAGGATGTGAAACATTCAGAGACCACCTGTTTCATGAGGTTTCATGTGCATGCCTAAACTCTGACCCTACCACTCTCAGGTCCTCCTACCTTGTGCTGGGGTCCAGGGAACCAGCCTGCTGGGCAGCGTCCTGCCTGCCTCCACCTTCAGCCACTAGCTGTGAGCACACGTGCTGGTATTGCACAAGATGTATGAGTGTGCACAATTGTGCACCATTACTGCAGCGTTGGGACAAATGCAAGTCCTCCCAAAATGCAAGTCCTCCCTGGGTCAAATCAGAGGCCAGTCTGGCTCAAAAGCTTGTCTCTATCAGAGGACAAGAATGGCACAGGCATAGACTAACTCCCTGATGGCTCCCCCGGCCTCTGAGCTGGGAGGGATGCATTGTTGATATGTTTTGCAGCCCACAGTGGTTTTCATTTCCATGAAATCTCTGCTTACCCCTCTAATTCTGGAGCCTCTGAGCAAGAGCATCTCTTCCCATGCACAGAGCCTCAGCTGGGGCTCTCTTACACTCTCCATCAAAGGGTGGATGAACACTGGAGTGGCTTCTCCATGCCAGCCGAGGCTTTACAGGCCTGGATTGTATCCACCCTACAGCACGTTTTCCAAACACAGAAATTCTAACTCACTTAGTCATCCAGGCAGAGCTCCACGCCTTCGGTCCTCCTTGCTGCTTCCCTCCCAACCTTCCCCTCGACCCTTCCAGAGACACTAGGGCTGGGGGCACGCAGGTACTGTGAGGGGGTGAGATGCCAATCTGAAGAGCAGCACATGGCTTTCCTGCCTTGTTTCTCAAGAAGATGATTCTATGATGTGTTTTTATGCACACCAAGCTACCAGAAATAGCTGCAGGCCTTGCTGCAACTGACCAGCTCACTGTGTAATCCTGTTTGTGGATTTGGGGCTTTTTGTTTCCCCTGCCTCCTCTATTGGTTGATATTTATCTAAACTGAATTTCATCTGCCTACCACCCAGTGTTGTAATGGTCTTCTGTACTCTTCCTAGCTGGCACTTGTCCTCCTGAACCTGAGTAATCCAATCACCTCAGCAAGCCCTGTCATCTCATTGCTCATTCCCTT